TATTCTATCCAAGATTATCCAGAGTATATACAGGAATCAGAGAGTAAAATTCAAGGCCTTTTTTAAGACTCCATACATTTGAATACCTTATAACCACTTTAGGTTTCAACCGAAAACACTGGCGAGATTTTAACTTACAGTATATTTACTAAATATTAAATTTGTAAACTAATCCCAAACAACAATATTATTTATATACTGAATAAAAAAAAATTATTTAATCTAGCTCAGTGGTTCTCAAACTTTTCTCATCAAGTACCACCTCAGAAAAAAATTGTCTCTCCAAGTACCACCAAAATGAGCAGTATTGAAATACAGTAGCGTAGTAGGCCCAGTAAAGCAGCTACAACTCTGCACAGTTAAAAAAAACATGGCAGATAAACTCAGAAATATAGGCTAAATGTCATGTATGGCATATTATATACATAATTTTTTGATAAATTTTGAAATATATGTGGCATGTACATGACATATTTCATTTCTCCGCGTACCACTAGAAGGAAGCCCGCGTACCACTAGTGGTACATGTACCACAGTTTGAGAACCACTGATCTAGCTAATTCAGCAGGTTGGTGCCTATAGAATTGCAGAAATAATGGTGTTACCTTGATTACTGCAGTAAACAAAGCAGCGTTATGTCAAATCTAGCAGGATTTTAGTGATTTCATAAAATACACAGCATCCTGAAATTCACAAATTTAATTCAGCCAAACTTTTGCATACAACCATACATTATATTATAAAAAAATGATATAAAATTTAATACCTTGCAAAATAGCATTTAAGACTTTTTCATATTTTTTAAGGGCCTTAAATTTCTCTACATTGATTTATCAACCTTTAATACTTTTTAAGACCCCACGGACACCCTGTTATCATACTGTCAGAATCTTATAGCAGCTCATGCCTAGTCCAAATACTTAAAAATTCTTAAATCAAGAAGCATTTTCTAAACATGAAAAGAAAATTGATTTCAGAAAAAAAAAAAAAATCAATCAATTCATAAGCGAGGGTTTCCTTGACATGAGCTAAATAATCTACAAATAAAGTAAAATATCTGGCAAGCAAAATAGTCAAATTTTTAACCCAAAATCTCTCTATTTTACATTTTGATATATTTTAACAGATTATGTATTTAGATTTATGTATTTAAAATGACACAATGAATGAACATATAAATGATTAAACTCAGTTATTACATCTATTTATATTGATGTTTATATCAGAACAATCCCATGCAAATGTCAACCTCGCCATGAAAAAAAATGTTTTCACCAAAATAGATAAACCCAAAAGTTTTTTTTCTGTTTTTTCTAAGAATTCTAAAATCAAGAAGCATTTTCTAAACAAAAAAAATCTAATTTTTTTAGTTTTTAAATAATCTTGAAACAAAATAAAATATCTGGTAAGAAAAATAATCTTATTTTAGAACCAAAACCTCATTATTTTACTTAGATTATTTTTGCATGTTTTAAGGAAAAGCTTGTTTGATTATATCTTTTCTTTTCTCTAAACAAAACTACAGAAAATACTTCTTGATTTAAGAACTTGTAGATAATTGGACTACAAACAAGAGAAAAACTCCATGCAAGAAAAGCATTTCATTTTTTGCAGTGTCATAGATGTTTCTTGAGCATTAAATCACGTTTTGTTTTCTGAAGGATCATGTGACACTGAAAACTGAATTAAAAGTCAGAGTTGCACTACATAAATGAATTAGATTTTAAAATACATGAAAATAGCAAATAGTTAGAATTAATTAATTCAATATTTCAGCATTAAGGGTCAGATAATGTATTTTTGTTTTCAATATAATTGCTATTTTCTTTCAGTCCTACATATCTAAGCTTATGTAGTCATATGGCCAGAGGTGTTTTAGAGACATACATAACAAAAAAAAACTGCTGAAAAGGACTGCATTCATGCACACCGGAGACTATTGAAATGTTTATCTACAAAGGAAATCATATCATACCATCAGACGTTTAATGATCGTATATAAAATTAAATTTCACAAAGACGGTTTCAGAAAGAGTCAGCATGATACTGCATCTGCTTGTTCAGTGGCTTGACTCGTGAGTCAGTGGGTTGATTAGTAAGACTTATATAAACAACTTGGGCCAGATCTGGTCATTAAAAATTATTTTACAGACGTTCAGTATGAAGTGCATTAAGGAAGACTGGAAATACAGGGTCATGAATTTCTTAGGGTAAATGTAGGTGCTCACAGAAGGCCTAATGTTAGTGTATGTGGATATAAATGTATAATTTAAAGTGGTTTATCCTAATAAATAAACAGAAATTTATATATTAATCAATGGTTTTAAGTACACAGTATTTTTCAGTACTGTAAACATTCTCTAAATACTTTCTAAATAACTTCTTATATTTAGCAAAGGGAACTAGAAAAGGTAAATAGAGCAAAAGTGGCAGCATATCATGTTTCATCTCAATTATCTATAATATTAAGGCATAACATTAAGATTAAATATTACTTATATTTACGCATTTGTGTGTGTGGGTCAAATAATAGTAAGCATATGAGATATGTACTGTGTATTGTGTATATGTATACAGCACACACACATTTATAGTTGTGTGTGCGTGCGTAGTTGTTTGTTTTGTGTAAATAATCTGATCAGCTTTTAATGATCGATAGGTAGCTCCATACTGCAAAATTTATCATGAATAAAATAAAATACAACAAAGCTAAAATAAAATCACTTTAAAGCTGTAATGCTATTTTACAAACAACACACACATGACCCTTCAAAAAAAACAAAAACAAAGACAAAGAGTCGTGTGTGTGTGTGTAACTGCAACATCTGTGCGCATACCAAAGCTCTGTCTAAGGTCTATGTATGGCAGGTTACCGGGAAACAAAGCTCACATACAGCCACTCCTTGTCATGTCAGGACAGAGTTAAAGTGGAAAACGGCTGTAGTGTAAAATGCAAGTCTTTCGTCAGAGTCTGATATTCAGGGTGTCTTAAAGTGTGTATTTTTGATGATAAGGTGGGGGGGCAGATTCATAGCTGGAGGCAGTACATTATCAGTACTTTCCTAACACAAAACACTGAATCTTTTAGCATGCCAGCATAACAAACAGTCTGAATGGAGAATATAGACTTAATATTGATGTAAAGTTGGTTCACACGTTCTGACTTTCACCTTCTTTCTTTGCAAATACTAAATAGGGAAATGATATTAGCGGCCAATGACTATCAACATTGCTCACAGTAGGTTAAATAGTGCTAATGCTGTTGTGAATTCATACTTAGATGCAATTTCACACCCAGTATTAAAAGTAAACAATATAGAGACCTTGTCACAAGTTGTGCTTGTAACAGTACGTCATTAAAATTAATCTGTGTTAGCATTTTTAAATTCAGCTTTGGTGTTTTATTGAACGGCAAAGTCGGAATGTGTGAATATAAAACCTCAATAGACTTAATTATTATCATTAAAATATACAGTGCTCAGCATAATTCAGTACAGCCCATTCTGAAAATGAATATTTTTATCCATTTCTCAGTGAATACAGGCAATGTATTTTGGTGCATTTAAACGAAACAGCTTTATTAAACAGATTTATTTATTAAAATAATACTTTAGTCATCAAACATGTTTAGAAAGTGAAAGATTATACAAATTAATGTAAGCAAAATAATGCAAAAATAACTACAAACTACAAAATTTTAACTTTTTTTTTTTTTACTCTTTTAGCTAGACGAGCCACTCTTATCAAATGGGAACAGGTACTTCCTCCATCACATGACATGTGGATCTGAAAAATCTTTGAGACTTGCGAAATTAAAATGTTTACTTGCAGGATCTCTCAAATCTTTTTACAAGACCTGGAACAATATTTTAGACTATATCAAAGGCTTACCCTGTTCAGTTGATATCAGTTCTAATATACAGTATTTAATTGGAAAGAGGATATATTGACGACTCAATGCAAACTTTTCAATATTTATTAATTTATTAAATAATTAATTTTACTGTTTTATTGCAGACTTGCTCATTTATTATTATTTTTGAAGAATATCTTTTAATTTTATTTTTCTCTTTCTATCAGAGGATATGTTTGTTTATAATTCATAAATGTTATATATTTTATTTTGGGGGGATAGTGGAAAAATAAGAAAACTAAGACAGTCTGTGATTTTTCCTATGTTGTATTCTATACTACGATGTATGGTCTTGTTAAACACCAATATTTGTTTTTAAAGTGCAAAAAAAAATTTAATTAAAATTTCAACTAATTTTTTATAATTTTTTGCTTCTCTTGATTTTTCCTCTTTTTTTTATTTGTATTGAATATTTTTTATATAACATATAAATTTGAGTGTACTAGTTTTTGGACCGTTATAGTAAGTTATTTAGTTAGATAACCTCCAGATTTGGCTTCAGTACTGACTAATCTAATGTATATGCACAACTATAATATTGTACAGCTTCCTATTAAAACTATGAATTTAAAAGATTTGTGAGGGCTGTACTTATACATGCTGAGCACTGTACATCTCATATGACACAAACAAAAGTCATTTTACACTTAAAATCCATGAAAAACACACTGAGGTAAAGTTGGTTTTATATTCGCACATTCTTTCAGTGATAACTTGCCCATATATTGTTTATTAAGCTATATACAGAATATTGGTTCTGAAATCTCATGCATGTATGACTTCAAACACAACATGGTAGCACAACATAGTACTTTGATAGTCTATATTTTAGAATTTGCAAACATTACTTAACTGTACTTATGTTCAGAAGGTGAAAGTCTGATTGTGGGAATATAAAACCAACTTTACCCCAAAGAAAAACACACCAACTCATGATTGTTTCAAAGCAAACTCTTATCTGCAGTACAGCATTAACACAAACAAACTTCACTTGCCCTTCACATGATTGTGTTTATCAAACACACACACACTTTAAACACACTTCTAGACGCTAAAAAGAAAGATATAATGAACTAAATGTACTCACTTGTCATCAGAATGAAGGCTGGGAGGGCATTTGATGGCCAGCCATGTTTTCCACTGCATGTGTCGTACTTTGTACACCTGTCCGAAGCCGCCGGAGCCAATCTTTTCCCAACTCCCAAACTCTGAAGCGTCAAAAGTTTTCAGAAGCCCCATAATCCCTGGGGAATTCTCTGGGACGTCCATTTTCCAAACTGTGAAGTAAGATCCTGTACGGTTCTGTTTTTCACATAAAATAAAAAAAGGTTTGTGTGTGTGAAAGACTAGCAGGTTGTGAACTGCTGTTCCTTGTTTTTTTCTTCTCCCTGTCTGTACTGAGAGCTTGTGTCTGTCTGGCTCTACCCCTCAGCTCAGGTAAGAGAAAGGAGGAGCCTAATGACATAACTTCCTGTGCCAAGAACACACCTACGCCTACACACACACACACACACACACACACAAAAGTAGCAGAATCAATTGCCTAATCTAGTCCTGACGACACTTATGTCTGTTTATATGCTAAAGGGCATCGCTGACACCCTGTTTATCCACTTTTTTCAACTCGACTACATCTAATACAGCGCCAGAAGTTACAAACATCTCAGCTTTCTGCTCACAAAGCCTGGGAATTATATTGGACGCGGTTATCCAAGCTTGTGGAATGCTGGTTTTCACCCAACACCTTTATAACCTGAGATCTCCATGATGTTCGGATAGTCTCTTAACCCCCCCTAAAGAAATACACAAGTTCTCTGGGATTACTCAACACTGTGCTGGTTTTGTGATATGGCTAAAAGAGTTGTTTGGAATGTTAACAACAACAAAGGCCAAAAAAACGAAGAGAAAAAAGGAAAATAGTCTTACATATTCAGGTTTATATTAGCCGGAGGTTCAAGTATGAATGAACACAATAGTTTAGTTGTAGCTTTAGGGTACCGTTTACTCATTTTACACTGATCTGACTGAGTTTACGTCTATTAGACCTTTAAAATAAATCACCACAGCGTTCTCAAGTCCACATAAGTGAGTCACGAATCACGATGAATAGTTTTTAGATCCATTATGACTCAGCAAATTATCATACATCTTAAATAAATGGCAAATCTTTCCTTCTAGGATTTTAAAAAGCTGAGCAGGTGTACTCATGGGAATGTTTGTGTTATTGTGATTGACATCTATGCGTCTAATTTATCAGCATTATCAAATATGGCTGAGCAACCAGTTGTGTGCAATCTTTTACACGTCTCGTGTTGAATGATTGATAGGTTATCATTTTTAGCAAGTAAAATGTCTATAAATGTCCACCTTGTGGCTCACGTGTCTTTTTGTTGTGGAATCTTAGTGATTATTATCAATTCAGTGTAAAAATAACATTGTTTTTTTGGAAACTGTAATGTTTCCTGAACTTAAGCAACTTAGCTTTACTATTAAATTATATTATTCATTTTCTTCCGGCTCAGTCCTTTAATTTATCAGGGGTCACCACAGTGGAATGAATTGCCAACTATTCCAGCATATGTTTTACACAGCGGATGCCCTTCCAGCCGCAACCCAGTACTGGGAAACACCCATACACACTCGCATTCACACACACACTCATACACTACGGTCAATTTTCATTCATTCATTCATTCATTCATTTTCAGCTTAATCCCTTTAATAATCAGGGATCGCCACAGAGGAATGAACCGCTAACTTATCCAGCATATGTTTCACACAACGGATGGCCTTCCAGCTGCAAACCATAACTGGGAAACACCCATACACTCTCGCATTCACACACACATACATGCATTATCAGTTTTCATTCATTAATTTTCTTTTCAGCTCAGTCACTTTGTTAATCAGGGGTTGCCACAGTGGAAAGAACCGCTAGCTTATCCAGCAACCATGTGTTTTACACAGCGGATGGCCTTCCAGCTGAAACCCAGAACTTGGAAACACCCATACACACTCACATTCACTCATACACTACTGAAAATTATGTTTACCCAATTCACCTATAGCGCATGTCTTTGGACTGTGGGGGAAACTGGAGAACCCGGAGGAAACCCACGCCAACATGGGGAGAACATACACACAGGAACGTCAACAGACCCAGCTGAGGCTTGAATCAGTGACCTTCTTGCTGTGAGGCAACAGTGCTAACCACTGAGCCACCATGTCACCTTTATATCATTAAAAAATAATTTATTACATTATATTATATTGTTTTAAGGAACAGCTAAATTTTAATCCTCATTAAATGTTTTACCCAAACAATAAAAGCTATGAAGATTTGATAATGAAATTGGTGCATCTAAATATCACCTTAAATTTAAACCACCTTAAACCTTAAACCACCATTTATTTTATGAAATTAGCCTATATTGTTATAAAAATCTAAATAATACAGTAGATTTTCATTTGTTTTGGCTATATGTAGAATTTCACTGATTTGTGGCTATATAAATTGCAACATCTGCATCAAATTGCATATTTGTGTGCTTTTATTATTATTATTAGAACCTTTATTTTACCGGGTAAAGCACAATGAGATTAAAAATCTCTTTTACAAGAGCGTCCTGACCAAGATTAGGCAGTATACAAATCGTGTTGGTTTAACAAACAAACAAAAACAAATAACAGGTAACATAATTTATCCATTAAAACGATAACAGTTACAGCTACAGGCCCATGCTTCAAACTCCAAATCATTTAAAATCTATTTAAAAGCATATAGTGAAACCAACTCTTTAAACTGCAACTTTGTCTGGAAGTTATTCAGAGCAAAAGGTGATGCACATTTAAGCTCTTTTCCCATTTCAGTATGCACCACTAGTACAGACAATAAAGAAACTTCCTGAAGGCTATAGCTAGAGACAGGTTTTTACAAATGTAAGTATGGAGATATGAGGGGAGTAAACCCAGAATAGATTTATAAACAAAGATATACAAATACTTGAGCCTTAGAGTGGACAAAGCAGACCATCCTACCTGAGTGTACAACACAAAATAATGAGTGAGGGATTTAGGATTTGTTATAAACCTCAGTGCACCATGGTAAACAGTGTCTAAAGCAATAAAATAGCAGAATATTTAAAAAATTGCAATATGAAGTAGTAGACGAACCACGTCTGAAAAATAGATTCATTTGAGGTTAAACATAAGCTGTGAAAGCTTGAGCTGCATTAATTTACAGTAAAATGATTTGATATTTTCTGCACTGTGAGTTAAAATGTAAAGTTAGTTGAATTTACTTGATTATTCGAGTAAATGTCCAATAATATACACTAATGTTTTGAGGAACAGCTATTTATTAATCAAGACCATGCTGATGGCCTTATTTACAACAAAAGTCATCACAAAACATACAATAGGCCTCAATTTGAAAATCCCATCAGGCCTACTTAAAGTCTAGCGAAACCGAAACTGCAAATGGCTGTTGTCTTGTCTTAAAGTGTATCTTAAAACAGGATTTCCCCCCCAAATCAAAGCAATTGTTCGATGAGTTTCAATTGAGTGTCTTCATCATTAGCAATTCAGATTTATATGAGGAGTGACAGCGATCGTCTGTGTGTTAAAGTCGAAATAAAATAAACATCAAGCGTACATAGCTTACACTGAAGACTTCTATAATAGCATATATGTATGTGTGTTTACCTCTAAGCACATATCTGAATCAGATAAACACGTTTGGCCCTCTTGAATAAAGGATGAGAGTTTTGTGTAAATGCGTCTTTGGCTCACCCGTGTGGAGATTCATTAGTATTGTAGTTATCGTAAGACGATCTGTGGTGTCGCAAAAACGCTGCGAAAAGTAACCAGGCAAATATGAAAACGTGGGTAATGCATTTACTACTTGAGATCACTCGAAATTGACGTGTTAAATGCGCTAGATTGAGTTGTATTAAGTTTGCTTTATAAAGTACCGGTGTTTAATCGTCATGGCACTTTATTTAAAAGCGGCAGAGATTCTTGAGAAAGTGGAGCAGAAAAGAGGAGCGGTGAAAACTCTGGTTTATGACAGTAAATTTCCAGTAAGTGCTGTTGTTTTTGTCTCTTTATGTCAATATATGGCGCTATTGGGTGCTTTAGCTATGGGCTCTTGTCAGATATGATTTAATTTAATACATTTACAGCTTGGAAATGATGAAGAACAAAATATTCCGTTTTTTTTCAGGTGACATTTACCTTGTTTTCTTCTCGTGTTTCATCTCAAACCTTTTACCGACGCCGTTGCATTTGTTAATGACTTTACGACGGATTTCGTAAAACAATATTGATGACATTAACTTTGAAAATGTATACATTAATATCATCATATAATTGGCTACAAAACATACATAAATGTTGATTATTTCAATCTTCTCCTTTATATTTACTTTTTAAAATGATCTCGATGAAATGAAAACCCCCAATGCAGTAAAATAATTTTATATAATTTACATTTTTTAATTAATAATTAATTGTATATCGGAATTATTAGGAATTTTTAGATTCAGTTATGTGATGCCTTTCAATATTTATTTAAATTGTGTGTTTACTGTTATGCCATCTGATTTTTATATTTAATAATAAATAAATTAGTTTGTGTATCCTATCATGGTTTTAAATATATAATCCTTGTTTATGGATTCCCATTTCACTCATTTTACCTCATTAAACACCCATATTTATTTATGTTTTCCTCAGAATATCAAGCAGCTCTTTGCACTTGTGTGTGAAACACAGAAATACTCCTCAGTTCTGCAGGAGATCATCAACAGCACAAAGCTTTTAAAAGAAACCAAACTCCGGATTCATTTAGCCAAGGTAGCTGTCTCTACGTTTGTTTGTTTGTTTGTGTGTGTGTGTGTGTGTGTGTGTGTGTGTATGTGTGTGTGTATTCATCACTGATATGTGTGTGTTTGTGTGTTCAGGTACTGGTGTATGACCTGCTCATTGGTCATGGGGTAAAATGCGGAGGCGCCTGGAAGACGACGATGTTAAAGCATCGCGCCAGACTACAAGCTGCTCTGGCCAGAATCAAAATCAAGAGGAAAGTGAGTCGAAATCAGGACCTTCTGCCCTCCAGCATCCAGCAGACACAGAGTGAGCATCAATAACTAAGCTAAAACAAATCATATGATTGATTTTGGAAGGGGGCGACACAGTGGTACAGTAGGTAGTGCTGTTGCCTTACAGCAAAAAGGTCACTGGTTCGAGCCTCGGGCGGGTTAGTTGGCATTTCTATGTGGAGTTTACATGTTTACCTTGGGTTCTTGTGGGTTTCCTCCGGGTGCTCCGGTTTCCCCCACAAGTCCAAAGACATGCACTATAGGTGAATTGGGTAAGCTAAATTGGACGTAGTGTATGTGTGTGA